ACTCCTCTACTATCTTTAAAATGTAATTCATTTTCTAAAACCCAACTTATGAGGCCTTAGGAAATCATGGTATAGTCAAATTGAGGCACCTCCTAAGAACACAGCCCTACCAACTCGAGCCCTCTGAGAATGTTCTGTGAACACCTAGGTTGCTGGGTAAGGTAAGGAAGTGGACACCTGTTAGTGACACCTCTTTCTCTGGTTCTGTTGCCCTGCAGGTGGCTTGCAGTTCGTCTGGAGCTGATTGGGAACCTGATCGTCTTCTTTTCATCCTTGATGATGGTTATTTATAGAAAGACCCTAGATGGGGACACTGTGGGTTTTGTTCTGTCCAATTCACTCAATGTGAGTCTGAGGTTGGGAATTTGATTGAATTAGTGCATCATTCTTAAATGGAGTCTAGAGTGTACCATGGAGTCTGGACTTGTGATTCCTTTCTAGATCCAGAGGGACCAGGGGAGACTGAGATTCAAACCCTGGCTCCATCTCTTACTAATTGTGTAACCCACAGGCACACTCCTTACCCTTTCTAAGTGGGTACCAGTGCCACCTGGGAAAATGGACATAAATTTTGTTGCCCTTGAGAGTTAAGGAAGCAATTTCATATAATTCAATTTAGTAGTTTCCTATCTCTTTGCCTGTTTGCTTGATTATAGTTAAAAGAGAATAGATGAGTTTATTTTATAATATAGAAGTAGCCAGAAAGTCTTTTGAACAAATAACTTCTGCTACCAACAGGCTCTGTATAGTGCTGTTTTCAGTAGGAGTTAATAAGGCCCAAGGTGATCATAGCCGGATACCCAGAAGGACTCTGTCATTCACCAGAATCACTGGGTTCCTTGTGCCATTGCCCTTTCATCTCCCCATCTCTAGGCTCATTATCCTAGGACGGATGAGACAAAGAATTGGACAACTATTAGACTGAACCAAACCAAAACATTCAAATATCAACAATTCATATAGTTCAGCCTACATAAAGTGGTACTCTTAGTCCCCACCCTCCTGCACTCTCCTCTCTCTAACCACCATGAGCTCAACAAAAATTCCCTGTGCATATGTGCCTGGCCTACGGGCTTTGCCTGAAAGAAGTTTGCATCTGACTTTAGACTGGCCCAGATCATGATAACTCTCTTCCTGGTGGTTAGATGTATCTTTGTAGTGGCAGGAAGGCCCCTGGGGTTTACTGGTATAAAGGAGGACAAGGGTCCATGTGGATGTCCCATTCTGGGGATTGTGTTCTCATCCAAGCTGCTGTTAATTGAGAGCAGACAGGAGGCAGCTTTTTGGAAGGCCTTTTCCTACCCTGTGTCTTTCCTTTTGTTTCCCCGTTGGTGGAATGCCACCCCTACCCACTAAGAGTTTTATAGGCAGGAGAGTTCAGGTCCCACCCCACCAATCACCAGCCTCAGCTTTGGCCCCAGGCCACTCCAAGTTTCCTGTGAGCACCACACAGCTGAGCACTTAATTGTCCTCCAGCCATTCCATGCGTTGGCCTCACTTCCTCCCACAAGGAGGTGCAGTTTGTCACTTACACGCTTCCTTGCCTTCTTGCAGAGTCTGGCATAGTACTGGGTACAAAGGCGGCACTAGATTGACCTTGTGGTTTGACTAGTTGAGTTGGTTTCTGAGCCTGAGATGATCTTTAGTCTTCTGGTTTTTCTGTAGATCACACAAACCCTGAACTGGCTAGTGAGGATGACGTCAGAAATAGAGACCAACATTGTGGCTGTTGAGCGAATAAATGAGTACATAAAAGTAGAAAATGAGGTAAGAAGGAATCAGAGGAACCCAGGGAAAAGGGGGAAAAATGTGATTGCTTCCAGAAAGCAACTTCACTTGTTTGGAGATAATCAAGGAGGGGTCATAGAGGTTCTCTGAAAATCTTCCTTGCTCTAACTCAAAGGACCTAACTTCTTGAAATTTAAAGTAGAAAATGGTTTGGGGGAAGTCAGGTCCTGGGATGCACCAAGTTGAATGATGGCTTCATTCTGGAGATCCACAGAGAAACAACCTTGTGGGATAGGATTTCTTTAATTGAATCATGTGGAACCTTCTGGAAGTACTGGTCTAGCTTAGTATATTCAATGCAGATGTCCACAGGCTGGGGCACTGCTACCCTGTTCTGTGACATGAGTCCCATGGGGACTGATGAACGAGTTGTCACCATGTAAAGCACTTCTCCTCCTGTCTCCTTGCCAGGCGCCTTGGGTGACTGATAAGAGGCCTCCAGAAGGCTGGCCCAGCAAAGGGGAGATCCAGTTTAGCAACTACCAAGTACGGTATCGGCCTGAACTGGATCTGGTACTGAGAGGGATCACTTGTGAAATTAAGAGCGCAGAGAAGGTAGGTGGAGCTGAAGAAAGGCCTGGATGTGAGTCCTTGTGGACACAGAGGTGGAGAGCAGTGGACTCTGGGCTTTCATTAACCAGGTGGGAGTGAGAGGTTCAGGACACTTCCTCTGCCCTGAGGAGGTGTAGGGACACAGTGCCACCACCAGAGGGCAGGAGATCGGCACAGAATTAAACAGGTTTACGGGGGCTGTAAGGGCTTTCTTGCTCAGCCCTTCCCTGTGTCCCTGTTGGCCACCTCTTCTATGGCTGACAGGGTTCATTTCCTGTAAGGGCCACGGTGTGTAGAGGGGAAGTCAGGAGGCACCAGCCTGGGGAAGGAGCTGGGGGGGAACAGCAGTGTGGAGGTTGTCTCTGCAGAGAGAATGGCCCAGTTCTCCTGGTCTGCAAAGTCCAGCACCCCTCTATGGTGTTCTTGTTCTCTGAGGAACTGGGGTCTGATGTAGGTAGAACCAAAAAATGTCTACATCATTCTGGGTGAGGATGCTGGGTCTGGTTCTCAGCTGATGGCAGGCCTGGTCCTGCCCTTTTCCTCAAGTCTAAATAAGAATTTTTAAAAATCTATAATTTCCAAGAAGAATAATTATAACAATGGCAGCTGCTGCTGTGTCCACTTCTAACAGTCACTGTAGTTCTCAGCAAGCAATGAGTTAGGAGTTAGGATGGGAGGGACATCTTTTTCTCACATCTAGGCACTTTTTTCCCCACCAAAATCAATTTAACATCTTAGAGATGAAGTAGCCAATCACTGCCTTTTCCCACCTGTGAGTGTGAATGCCCCAGGCTAACTAAATTCCCCCAAGAATTATATGGTGGACTAACACGCAGAGGAATTATATTTACAGATTGGTGTGGTGGGCAGGACAGGAGCTGGGAAATCATCCCTGACAAACAGCCTCTTCAGAATTCTGGAGGCTGCAGGTGGCCAGATCACCATTGACGGAGTAGATATTGCTTCCATTGGGCTCCACGACCTCCGGGAGAAACTGACCATCATCCCCCAGGTGAGCTCTGAAACGTGCAGTCACACACAGCTTGTTCTGCAGGAAACATGTGCATCTTCTTGATGCACGTTTGTAGAGCAGTGTCATTTCCGCTGTCTATGCCAGCTACCTAAGCCAGTTTCCTAAGACACGTTGCTTCCAGAACTTAAAAGATAAGTTTTGCATTGTTTGGTAATCCATTTGTGTGACTGCCAGTATCTTACCGGTAGGTGGCAGCAACACAACAGAACTCAAACAGAGCAGATGATTATTTAGCATTTCTATAGCCCATCACAGTTGGCAGGTCCTTTGCAATCAGCATTAGCAGTTTCGCCGCTGAAGCTTGAAACCATTAAGCTTTATACTCCCCATTTGATGTGGTTAAAAGAGAGGGGAGGGAATTGGCGGCAGGTTTTTGCCAGCAAGTGGAAAGGTTTGTGCATCAGCAAGAAAGGCTTCCCTGCAGCTTCTTCTCTGGACCCTCCCAAACCAGGACTGCTCTGGGGTGTGTGGGTCCTCATGAGAACCTGGCCTGCTCTGCTCGCTGCAGCAGGTCTCTGGGCTGGCTTTGGCTCGTCTGGTGTTTGCTGCCTTTTGATACACTCCTTTCTCCAGCCTCTTTAGAAGCATAATAGATTGTTCTCCTGTGATTATTACCATCCTTCCGTCTCCACACCATGAGTTTTCATTTGAGGGTGTGGGACATTCCTCTTACCTTCTTAACAGATGCTGAGGCAAATCTGGAAATCCATAAATGAATCTCACAAAAACACCAAGGCCTCCTCTCATTGCTGTGTTTAGCTCCCCATGTTTAGCTGGATGCCTCCAGCAGGGAAACCGTGCGGAAGCTTGACAACTAAACAGCGTTCCATCTTAGACCAGTCCTGCCACTTTCTTGGCCACAACGAGCTACTGGTTCCTTTTCCAACGTTAGCCCCAGTGACCCCCCGCCTTGTCCCTTGACTTGCAGGATCCCATCCTGTTCTCTGGGAGCCTGAGGATGAATCTAGACCCTTTCAACAACTACTCAGATGAGGAGATTTGGAAGGCCTTGGAGCTGGCTCACCTCAAATCCTTTGTGGCTGGCCTGCAACTTGGCTTGTCCCACGAAGTGACAGAGGGTGGTGACAACCTGAGGTAATGGTTCATAACCCTCTTCCCCACAGGCCGTGGAGGAGGCGAGACCACGCCTCTCATTACTCATGCAACATGGTGCCTGGGCATCAAAGAATTTTCACTCCCAGGTCTAATTCCCACTTAATGCTTAAAACGAACCCACTGTGAAGATTAAAATAGATGTGAATGTGCTTCAAAACTCTTGAAAACCTTTGTTAGTCAACAAACCCTTACAAGACATTACAAACGTGAGCTTCCAAATCCCATGTAGTGAGGTTCTCAGCTGCACTCTGCCATCAGGCTGGAAACCTGGTCCAGCCCCAGAGAGTCTGATTTCATTGGTCTGAGGCAGTGACTGGACAGGGGCATTCCAAAGGATCCCCAGGGGGTTGTACAGGCACCCCAGTTTGAGAAGCCCTCCCTGATCTAAGGGGCATGTGGGTGATGGAGGTGTGGTCTGCAGGGTCCTTGGGCAATGCTGAAACACCATAAACTAGCACAAAGACTCAGCCCTTTTTAACTTTTCAGAGCGTTTCTACATACGTTGAACTTCACGCTTCCTGTCGGTTAACAAGTTGACTTGGCATTTTCTATACAACAATCTGTTTTTTCCCTCCATACACTGAAGGTCAGCTCTCAGCCAAAGCCAGTGGCTCAGGGGCGGTCTCACTGCGGCCCTGGGTGCCTTCAGTAATGGGCAGGGCAAGGACCATTAGCAGTTGGAGCTCAGAGAAGGAGGGAGGGCTTGGTAGCTCAAATTAATGGACCAGCTGCTCTGGCTTCACCTGGGAACTCAGGCTTTAGTCGTACTATTTGGAATCCGCACTTTAGCAAGAGTCCTAAGTGATTTCTGTGCACATTATAGCACGAGAAGCTCTGCCTAGAAGGGTGATTCTTAAGTAGGCTGCACATGAATCACTCGGGATACTTAAAATGTCCCAGTGCCCAGGCTGTACCCTAGACTGGTTGAATCAGGGCCTCAGGTGATTTCAGCGGGTAGCCCCAGGGATCACTTGTGAGCCTTGGTAGAGAACATCAGCAGGTTTGTTTTCCCTCAGCAACAGACCTAGGAACTAGCAGGACCGAAGTAAGTCTTTAGGACTATAAAACAGGCCATTCAGGCATTCAGGCAGTAAGTAAGTACATACTGAGCACCACTGGAGCTACAGAGGGAAATGCTGCAGACACTCTTGTGACCTCCCCACACTTAAGAGCGTGATGGGGAAAGACCCGGCTTGTGCGCCATTAAATGCTGCAGGTGTGTGGGGCCACGTGGGGTGCTCAGGCAGGATAATACAGGGGCCTTGACCCGTCTGCTTTCTAAGAACAAAACCTCTGTCCGTGCTGGGAGGCACTTACGTGGCATTACCAGCGCCTTGATTTCAGACCTTGTTTGGGAGTTCTGAAACTTCAAATTCTCTGATCAGAGTTCGGAGAGCAATCAGCTTGGGGAGAGAGCCAGCAGCTGAAAGGCAAGTTGACGCCTTGGCAACAGCCTGTTACTGTGAACGAGCCAGGTAGGAGCTGGCTACGAGTTAGGTAAATAGTTTTGCAGCGTCTCTGCTCTTACATTACAGAGAAGAACTGGAAGTTCATCTTGGGTGACTTCTCATCTCCTGCAGAAATTCTCTTACGGAGAATTATAGAGCTTTAGTCTAGCCGCCCCTGTTTAATGTGTCCCCTAACGGCCACAGCAGGAGAGAGCAATTAGCGAATTCCCGAATATCTCCTCCGTATCGCTTCCCAAAGCTTCTTTGTGTAAGAGGGCCAGCATTCGTTATTGGCTTTTAGCAAATTAAAGCTATTTGCGTTTTACAGACATACTCGAATTCCACATACATTGCGTCTCACACCAAGACATCGCGTTCATTAGATGGCTACATCTCTAATCAAGGCAGAAGGCCTCGAACAAATAATCAGCCTTGAGACTATAATCACACGTTAAAATAACTAATGGATTTGCTAAGGCCACTAAGAAGTGCCTCTGGGCATCCTTGTGTGGCGTCACTCCATACTAATGGTGTCAAGCCAGATGTTGCTGAAGTGAACTTGGTGGCATCCATCTTATTTTGAAACTTGATGGTGTACTGAGATATTGTAGCCAAATGCAAAGCACTATTCTTGGGCTAGTGTTTTCCAACCTGGTTAAACGAAAATGTCCTGGGGTGCTTATTCACAGTGCATGTTCCTAGCTCCTCCCCATTCTGACGGAGTAGAGTGAACACTTAATATGAATTTCTAAATTAACCTGTGGTGGGTTTTCCAAGTAATTGAGAAAGTCTGGAAAACATTACTCTGCAACAATGAACAGCTGGTGGAAGAGGCGAAGGCATTCTAAAGGGGAATTCAGGAGTGAGTTCTGAAAGCCTGATCTGGAACGTGAAATCTGCCCCCTACTCCCCATCCCAGCTCATTCCTTGGTCCCTAGGGGCTAATGCTTGCTTTCTCCCATTGGCTGCAGCATAGGGCAGAGGCAGCTGCTGTGCCTGGCCAGGGCTCTGCTTCGGAAATCCAAGATTCTGATCATGGATGAGGCCACTGCTGCAGTGGATCTAGAGACCGATCAGCTCATCCAGACGACCATCCAAAATGAGTTCTCTCACTGTACGACTATCACCATTGCCCACAGGCTGCACACCATCATGGACAGTGACAAGTGAGTGGGGGGACAGCGCTTCACAGGCACACAACTTAGTCCTTTTGTTGACGTTAATAGCACCTGCCGTGAGATACCTTATAGTGGAAGGTTTAACCACCATCATTGTACTGACGAAGAAACAGAGGCTGAGAGATCTCAATTTGCCCAAAATTATACATCAAGCTAATGAAAGCCAACAGGTTTGTCGTGAGGGTAAAATGGGAACCTATGTGTAACTGTTAACCAAGTACGGGAGGTGGAGGCCAAGGCACGAGTGGTAGATAGTGAGCCATAGACCTTCCCAGCTAAACGGGGCCTCAGCTGCTCCCCCTGTAAGCGGAGCTTTCCGTTCCTTCCAACTCTGACAGATTATATTCACAATGGGGGTAACAACAGTAATCTTGAAACTAGTGAGAACAGGCTCCTTTTTTAACCAGTATATCCTTAAACAATGTGTATCCTTAAAAAACAACTATGTAAACGGACTCAGACCGCATATATTCCTAAACCGGTCTTTTGTTCAGTATTCCGCGTGGATCTGTGCTGACGCAGGTAGCTGTGGTTCATTCGTTCTCACTGCTTAGTAGCCTGGTATGAATGAACATAGTCCTGGTTTTCCTTATAAATGCCAGGATCTGAGATTTTGCTTTCTTGTTTCAGGGTAATTGTCCTAGACCAAGGAAAGATTGTGGAGTACGGCAGCCCCGAAGAACTGCTGAAAAACCCTGGCCCCTTTTATTTGATGGCCCAAGAAGCTGGCATTGAATATACAAACAGCAGCACAGCATTCTGACAGCAAGTCCCACGGGGTAGAGAAGGGCTATTAGGATCATTGCTTATTTAATTTTATTTTTTGTGAAATATACAAAAGTATGTGTAAAATGTACGTTTTAAAGAAGGATCACGAGTGCATACCCATGTCCTCACCTCTTGAGATTTTTTAAAAATGAGGATTACTAGCTATATCAGAAACCTGATGATTTCACTTTGATCAAACCTCCTTGCTACCTACCCACCCTGCTAGAGAGAACCACCACCCTGTATTTTGTGATAAATTATTCCTTTGCTTTTTGTTTTAATTTTACCACTTTGTATGTATCCTTAAACTGTTATTTAAACTCATGCAGTGTGGCCTGACTCATCCTGCGAGTATTCTTCTATGACTTGCTTCTTTTATGCAGTATTGTAGTTGGGATTCATCCACGCTGATGCACGTAAGGAGGCCGGTTCACTCTTACTGCTCTGTGGTACAGCGGTGTGTGAATACACCACAGTTATCCATTTTATGTTGGTCAGCAGTAGGATTATTTCCAAGTCTTTTCTTTCTTTTTTTCCTGTTATGAACAATACTGCTATGAACATTCTGGTATATAACTCCTAAGATATTCATGTAAGAAAGAGTTTCCTTAGGGTTTAACGTAGGAATGGGGGGTATGCATGTGTTTAAATGCATAGAGTAGGTAATACCAATTTAAGACATTTTTGTCAATCTGATAAGTATGATAAGAGAGGAGGAAAGAAGTATACAGTACTTTCTAAGTAAAATGAGCATAAAAGAATTTTAGGAAGAAAAATTACTTAGGACTACTTTGGTTCTCACTGAATTAAAAAAATAGGCTAATATAGAGCTCCTTTCTTCAACTCTTAACAGTCATGGACTTGGCTGACATGTTGGTAATCTCTTGAATGGACAGTCATCTTGGTCCTCGCTATGACAGCCATCAGGCTATCCTGCCTGATAGCTGCGGTCACTGATTTCAGATCCACTTGTCCTGTGGACGATGGGCTCTGTCGAAGCAGCAGTCTTATTTGCTGCTCAAGCCCATGGCCACTTCTTCCTCACTGGGGAACAAAGATGGTGGTGTCCATCTGTAAAGACTTCTGGTTACACCTCTGAGCACAGATGCCTCTCCTGGTACTTGGTACTAACAAACACCCTTGCCTGCTGGCTCCTTTGCAGGTTTGCATCCATCAGCAGGTAAACTGTGAACTGGCTTGTCAGGGTTTACATTCTGGCATCATAAAGATGCCTCCTAGTTCCAGAAATATCTACCAGGCTGATACATTTATTAGTTCCAACCTGTAAACCAATTCCACCTTGGCTAGCCTTTCATTTTCCTCTATCAAAACGGCTAATTCTTCCCTGCATACTTTGCTTCAACATTAATGTTGGACAGAATCCTTTTGTTTTAGCAGGACCTAGAGTTAGGGGTATGGTATAAGGGCCAAATCTGGCCTGCTGTTTTTCTAAATAAAGTTTTATTGAAACACAACCATATTCATTTGTTTCTGTATTATCTATGTCTGCCTTTGTATTACAATGGCAGAGTTGAGGAGTTGCGACAGACTGTATGGCCTGAAATACCTATTTACCACCTGGCCTTTTATGGGTAAGGTTTGCTGATTCCTGCTCCAGAATCAACAGTGTGGCCTGGACTGGATCATATTCCCATTCTCAGAAATGCCTCAAAAATGTCCTGTGGCTCCCTACCTGTGGTAGCTAGAACAATGGTCCCTAAAGATGTCCATGTCTGAATCCTCAAACCTTGAGGATTTATCTTACATGGCAAAAGGGACTTTGTAGATTGTGATTAAGGCTACTGAGATGGGGAGATTATCCATGTGGGCCCAGTGTAATTACTAGGATCCTTCTAAGAGTCAGGAGGGCGGGTGTTGGAATGAAGATGATGAGATGACAGAAACGGACCTTTGAACATGCTAGCCTGCTAGCTTTGAAGATGGAGGAAGGGGCCACAAGCCAAGGAATACAGGCAGCTACAGAAGGTGGAAAAGGCAAGGAAACAGATTCTCCCCTGGAGCCTCCATAAGGAACCAGCCATACCGACCTTGACTTTAGCCCAGAAATTGATTTTGAACTTCTGATCCCCAGAACCGTAAGATAATAAATGTGTTGTTTTAGGCTACTGAATTATTGGTTTGTTAAAGCAGCAGTGGGAAACTAATACAACACCATAAGCCCAAGTGGCTCTGATAAAACTACCCATAGTCTCCAACTAAAGTCAGTTTAAGAAATCATTGACCTTCACTGAACCCCACTGTAGCGTGAGTTTGTAGAGGATTATGTCATCTTTTAAGCCCAGCTGTAAGTGGGTTTCAGTGCTCACGGCTGTCACCCCTTCTATCAAATTGCAAAGATCTTAATTCAGCTTAATCCTATTTGGAGGTAATCTTTGGATCTCACCTGAGAGACTGCTGGAAGGTCCTTTGTTCAAATGAATCATGGTGATTCTGACGTCAGGTGGCGGCCATGACAGATCTGGAAGCTTTCACTCTTATCTGCCCTGATCCTGGACCTGGGGAATAGTTGCCATGGGAAAGGATTAGAGCTTGACTCCTCTCAAAGTCCCGAGGATGCCCAGGCAGTGCCTGTGACATGGCTCTGCTAAGTCTGCAGACCCCCTGGTCTGCTGCTGAATCCCATGCACCTGCCTGCTCCCCCAAAGTGTTCCTGAACAAATGCATGGCTGCTGCCCTAACCAGAGTGCTCGCTCCCACCACCACACCACTACTTACCTCTGGGAAAGCACTGTCTGCTCCTTCAGGGTCACCTCTGAGCGGTGTTAAGGAAGACACCCCTATGTAGCTTGCAAAGTCTGCAATTTATTGTGGAAAACTCCCTTACTGATACATGCAAAACACTCGTGCTGATCATTACTCACAATCACAGTGAAACGAAGCAGCACAGACTAGAGAGTGGAGATGATCATCCCTGTTGTGGCCTGAATGTCTGCCACACCTCGCCCAGGTGAAATGGTAAAAACTTCGACATGACGTCCTAATAGATGGGATAGTTTGGAATCCTGAGTTGTGTGTAGTGACTAGAGAGGATTTAGAAGTTAAGTATATGATGCTCAAGGTTTCCTGGTCCTCAGCCCTAAGGTTCTAGAACTGAAAACACAACTCACAGGATAACTGTGTTCTTTTAGAGCCTGTCTGTATCCCTGACCCTGAAACAAAACGCAAAGCTCCAGCTTCACAATTACAATAGCGTGACACAAAATTCAGTCTTTATTGAAACCATGTACTTTCAGAGCTCACAGTTCACAGAAGTTTGTAGGATCGTCTTATTTGTTCTCACAATAATCTGGAGGGAGGCCAGAAAACTACACGTTTCATTTGAGGACAGGGTCCCACCACCACTCCCTGTTCTCCAAGGACACTTGCAAAGAGAGCACCACTGACTACTTCCAGGCAGGAAAGGGAGAAAATTCATGACAGGAAGCAAGCAGGCAAACCGGATTTGGAAATTTTCTTCAATAACATTTTCTTCTGTTTGTGTCTGAAACATCTGACCCCTCCTCCTTCCTTGGTTTTTGTAACAGGAGTTCCGACAGTAGAAAGTTCTATTAAAAAAAAGAATTGCCTGTACAGGTGCTTCTCAAATTGAACAGGCACACAAATCAGCTGGGGACCTTGACTCAGCAGGCCTGGGATGAGGTCTGCATTCCCAGCGAGCTCCGAGGTGCTAGAGATGGACTGAAGCCCACACTTGAAGAAGCAAGACCTAGCAGAGATCGAGTGTCTAAAACAAAACTCTTCTTCTCATAAACCTGCTCCCACCCCAACGATCTCCCCTTTGTCAGTGATTCCATCATTTCTTCAACTTCCTGTTCTTCATAGGATGTTGCTGCTTTCCCATTCTGAAGCAATCTTAGGTCCAAATCAGTTATCTTCTTCCTACTTAGATTTCCTGGCCTTTGATCCAGCTTCCCTCCAAATCATTCTGCTACCATTTAATTTTCCTAAAACAGGCAATCCACCCAAGAACCCACAGGAGTCTCTTATTAGCCGACTCATCAGATCTAAGTCCCTTGCCTCGGACCTCGAGGCGCTCCAATTTGTTTGCTGTGTGCCAGGCAATGTTCTGGCACTCTCCACGTAGGAACTCACTCCCTCCTCACCACATCCCCATGAAGCAGATGGTAGTATTTTCTGTTACTTTAGACGAGGAAGCCAAGGCATGGGTTAGGCAAGTTGCCAAGGTCACAAAGCTCTTAAGTGAAGCCAGACAGTCTGGCTCCACAACAAGGTGGAAAGACTGAGCCTGACGCCCAGGTTTAAATTCAGGATCCACCGAAAACTTGATGTCAGACTTGAGCAAGTCATAATGTCACTGGACCCCATCATCCTGGTTCATAAAATGAAACAGTAGCTTCACTGGCCTATAAGCCTCTTTTCCATTCTGCCTATTACCCCACGATTTCTATTCCTTCACAGTAGCAGGCACTTGCTTCACTGTCCCCCACACTGTCCTCAGTGCCACCTCCGCCAGTGCTCCTGCTGCTCCTCCCCCTCCCACCCTGAGCTGGGTGAGCTGCTGTGTGGCCTTGCTACTCCATCACTAGTGCATCAGTTTCCACATCTGTACTGGAAAGAAAATACTTACCTCTTAGAGTTTCCAGCTCTTCTGTTCTGCTAGGATTTTACTGTCGGAAATGGCTTAAAATGAAGAGGTCTGCAGCACGGGCGTATTTTGAGTAGGCAGTGATTCTGCTGAAATCGTATTTGACAAAGTGAATTCTGAAACTGAATTTTTTCAGTTAACCACTCTGATCTGGAATCTGAGCATCCCTGAATTGTCAAGAAGGTACCTCCAGAAACCAGAGAAGGGGGTTCAGGCTAAACATGGAGGGAAATCAAGAAAACATACTCAGGGCCCTTAGAAATGCTTTTATTTATAAAATAGCTACTTGAATATAAACATCTCTAGATATAAACACTATTCACAAGAGACTTGCATTGCTGCCTTCTGACCGACCATCAGACTAAGGGGGCCAAGGAGTCCACAGCTGTCTCCGATTTCATCAGGACTTTAAGGCAAAGGTGCATTTGGAGAAGCAAGGGCTGTAAGGCTGTTCTTAATTCCCGTTCTTAAAACACAAAATTCGCGGCTTTCTGTTCCAAAGTAGGCTTCCCATCTGAGGAAAACCTTAAGAATAAGAGCTCTGCTCAAATAGCAACTTCAGGCAGAGAGTCTGAGTGTGAAGATTAGCAAACATCTTTTTGAGGTGGAGGGAGGTTCGATCAGGCACTTTAGAATCTGTTTGGCATAGACCAGGGTCTCGGAAGCATGGGGGCTGGTGAAAGAGAAAAATGCATATTTCCAAGCCTAGGACAAGCTACTTCTGGGACTGCTTATCCTAGTCAAATAAGACACACTGTGTTTTGTTTTCTGCATCTGCAGACAGTAGTGTGCTTGGATGAAGGAGAGGCACCCAGTCTCCCACCAGGCTGGAATGGCTTCAGTCCACTGCAGGAGGAATTCTTTTAATGGAATGGCAGGAGCTCTGATTCTGTTCTAGGAAAATCTATCAGTTACTGAGCTGCAGGAGAAGCAGCAGAGGGCAGGAGACATTGTCATGCATGGACTGTATAAAGTGGAGATGTCTGCCATGACAGTACCTAATGGGAAGACAACCTTTCAGATGAAGGTTCAAGGTTCTCCTTTCGGAGAAAGCAAGCAGCTGAATTTTGCATAATCTGGAAATTCAGTGAAATAAACAAGAAAAAGATTACAGATGGTAGTTTTTTAGAGACTTTCAGAAACAAAGGGTGTGTGTGTGAATGTGTCCCAGACACTGGGATTTTTGAAACACCAGATGTGGTACAGTCTCAACTAACTCCTTGTCACATGCGGAGGCACAGCCTAAAAGGGCTCTCAGAGAATTCTCTTCATCTGAGTTGGTTTCTGGATAGTTGGTCGTGGAGCGTGGAGCCACCCCAAACTCAGTGCGGTACAACCGACGCCAGCATCTCCTAATGCTAGAGCACAGCCTCGGGCAAACATGGGACGCTGGTCTTCCGACTGGAAACATCTCATTTCCAAAGGCTGACCCCAGGACTTGCCTCCTCTCTCACGGTCACTGAATCACTCGCAAGCCCCAGGGTCCATTTCAAATTCTAGAAATTCTAGCGAGCATCAAGGTTGACAACCCAATCAAGGAGAACAAGACTCATCTTGTGCCCAACAGTGCCGTGGCTAAGCAATGCAGGCAGGGCCTGTGTCTCCGGAGCAGGTGCCCTCTCGGTGGACACCAGAACCCTTCTGCAGATGGAAGCGAAGGCAGCAAGGTTGAGTGGGAGGCAGAACAGGTTCAGGTGTACTCAGTCTTGCGAATATAATTGGATGGGACATAGCCCTTCTTCCCATTAACTTCGGCTAACCACCATTCTGTATTTCCTGTGACATCTTTAAACTCCAGAATCTTGAGTCTCTGATTGGCTGACACACTCAGCTCATTTGGGTTCCTTG